CGTACATTCATACCTAACAGGTGCAATGCACGTATTCTGGATGAAGGGCACACTTACAACATCGACTTAAAATGTGCATTTCCTGTAACATGGTGAAATAAAAAATAAATAAATAAATAAATACTGGATATACTTAACAGTGTAATGAAATGACAAAAGCGAATTTCAGTGATCATGAAGATGCATCCAAAAAATCCAGTCTATAACTAGAGAAAATGTTCCTTAAGAATGAAGGCTAAATAAAGGATGTTTAGGAAAAAAGGAAGAAAACTAAGATAGTTTATCGCCAGTAGATTAGACTATGAAAAATGCTAAAAAGTAATTTTCATGGATAGGCAAAATAACACCAAAGGGAAATTGAATCTTCTAGAAGAAATGAAAAACATCAGCAATATAAGCATCAAAGTAAATATATAAGACAGTTTTATCTTAATTTATTTTGAATATTTCTTTCAAAAATTAAAGAGTAATTTGTAACATTAGCTTGCGGGGTTTAACATGCACGAAGAAGTTGCAGCACAAAGGACAAAGCAGAAGGGGAGTTAAAAAAGCTGTATGTTTGCAAGGGTTCTATGTTTGATATGAAGTGATATGCATGTGTAATATTGGAACATGCCTGGAATATAATAAAGTCCATGTGAAATAGAATATATTATAATGGGATCCTACAGGCATGTGGTGGGTAGAGGCCAGGGACACTGCTAAATATCTCACAATGCACAGAGCAGCTTCCTATATCAGAGAATTATTCTGTCCAAAATGTCAAACTCAACCCTAAAGCAACCACAAAATATAACAAGTTAAAGCTAAAAAGCCAATAGATGTATTAAAATTGGCATATTTAATCAAAAGATGGGTGAAAAGAAAACAAAGAAAAAAATGAGAGGAAAACAGACAACAATAAGTAGACGTAACTCCAATTGTATCAAAGTTAGATAAAATATGAAAGAACTTAATGCTCCAATTAAACACAAGAGATTATTGGGATGGATGAAAAGCATGACCCAACTGTGATTTCTACAAGAAACACACTTTAAATATAAAGACACAAATCAGTAGAAAAGAAATGAAGAAAACTCTACTGTGCAAAAAATCAGTATAAAAATAATGGTGTATGATTGGTGGGATCACACCTATGGTGCATCTTATAAGGTTACATGTGAATCTTTCTAAATGTAGAATATAAATGTCTTAACACAATAACTAAGAAAATGACATGGCTCAGTGCCTGTGGCTCAAGTGGCTAAGGCACCAGCCACATACACCTAAGGTGGCGGGTTCGAATCCAGCCCAGGCCCGCCAAACAACGACGGCTGCAACCAAAAAAATAGCCAGGCTTTGTGGTGGGTGACTGTGTTCCCAGCTACTTGGGAAGCGGAGGCAAGAGACTCGCTTGAGCCCAGGAGTTGGAGGTTGTTGTGAGCTGTGATGCCACAGCACTCTACCCAGGGGGACAGCTTGAGGCTCTGTCTCAAAAAAAAAAAAGAAAAGAAAAGAAAAGAAAATGACATGAAGGCTATGTTAACCAGTTTAATGAAAATTTTTCAAATTGTATATAAAAACAGCACACTGTACCGCATGACTGCATTAATGTACACAGCTATGATTTAATAAAAAAATAATAATGGTGTGGCTATAATATTAGATTTTAAAATGGACCTTCAGACAGAGCATTGTCAGAGAAAAAGAGGAACATTTCATGGTGAAAATGGCTCAACTCATCAGGAAGACATACGAATCACAAACGTTTATGCGTCTAATAATAGACTTTCAAAATACATGAAGCAGAAGTTGACAATATTAACAGAGAATTAGAAAATTCTGCAATCATAGTTTTTAACACTCTTGTCAGTAACTATTACAAAAACTAGACCAAAATCAATAAAGACACAGATGATCTAATCAACGTTGCAACATTCCAATTTGTATTTATTTCAAGCACACACAGTAAATTCACAGGGGTATGCTGCAGTTCAGTCCACAAAACAAATCTCAAAATAGTCATAAGAAATGAAATTAATCAAAACACATACTCTCATTTAAAATTTAGTAGTATACCTAACAAAAAAAAAACAAACCTCAAAGTATTAATATTTGAAAAATCGCCAATGCAATTTCTGGGTGAAAGAAAAAGTCAAAAAAAATTAAAAATATCTCTGAAAAGATAATAGAAGCATGACATAGCAAAATGTGGGTGCAGCCACAGCAGGACTTGAAAGGACATGCGTAGCTCTCCATGTTCTAATGGGCAGACAAGAAAAGGGGAAAAGCACAGTGGATGACCTTAGGTCCAAACTAAAGCAGCCAATAGAAGAAAAAGAAAGTAAACCCAAAATAAGAAGAAAGGAAATAATACAGCGTGGAAGTCAACTAAAGAGTATAGAGATAAACCGCAGGATAAATTAACCAAACGAAAAGTATGCTCTTGTTAAAACCAACAAAATTAATAGGATCATCAACAGAAAAAGAGAGAAGACAGAGATCACCCACATCAGGAAAGAAAAGATGTCGCTAAATATCTTACAGACGTTACAGAGATTATAAAGAGATATTATGAATAACGTCGTGCCTCACAATACAACTTAAATTTAACAAATCCTTTGAAAATACAATTTACCAAAATTAATACAAAATTAATAAGTATGAATAGCCCGATATTTATAAAACAAGTTAACAATATTTGTATTTGTTGGCTTGGCACCCGTAGCACAGTGGTTACGGTGCCGGCCACTTGCACCGAGGCTGGTGGGTTCAAACCCAGTCTGGGCCAATTAAACAACAATGACAACTGCAACAAAAAATAGCCAGGCGTTGTGCTGGGCACCTGTAGTCCCAGCTACTTGGGAGGCTGAGGCAAGAGAATAGCTTAAGCCCAAAAGTAGGAGGTTGCTGTGAGCTGTGATTCCATAGCACTCTACCAAAGGTGACATGGTGAAATTCTGTCTCAAAAATAAATAAGTAAATAAATAAAATTATAAAATTGCTAAAAGGAAACTATGAAATTTATTTTATAGTAACAATACAGGGAAAGCTTTTCTTAAAAAGACAAATTTAGAACCCTTGATAAACTGATAAATTCAATACCCAGCAATTAAAATCCATTAAAATACAGCATTTTAAAGTTCAAAGAGATAGGAAAAACGAAGAGAAAATTATTTTTTAGCATACATGGCATAAAAGAGACCAAGTTCTTTAATGTAGAAATCGTTCTTACCAATCACTAAGAAAAAATCAAAATATTCCAGTAGAAAAAAATATGGGGTATGGTCCTAAGTTGGACGTTCACAGAAAAATGAATAAAATAGCTTTCTAACCTAAGGAAAAAAACAATCAGCCTCTTTCAAATTCTAGTGATGCAAATGAAAAATAAAATAGGATACTTTAATCTTTCTTGTTGGCCAAAAAAGTTTCACAATGCTTGATGATAGTGAGGGTGTGTGGGAAAGAAAACTCCCACGCTTTGTAAGAGCATCAGTTGGTGTTAATGCCGTCAGAAGACAATTTAGCAATATCTATCAATTAACATTTATATTACTTTGATCTAATATTTCCACTTCCAGAAATCTACATGCCCAATCCATTTGCACATTCTACAGGCAAGGATATTTTCAGCGGCACTGTTTGTGGTAACAAAGGTAAAAATAAATGTATACCAAAGAGGGGCTGGATAAATAGACTGAAAATGAAATATTCTGCATTAGTAGAAAGACCAAGATTGATTGATAGGTGATTATATAAGTCTCCAAGATATAGCTTTGGATAATATAGCATGAGGCAGGGCACTTTATGACGTGTGCTTTCATTGGGTAAAATAAGACGCAGTAAATACCTGTATGTAGCTATATGCTCTTAAATGTATGGAAAGACACATATATACACACAGACACTCTTGATTTTTATATTTACAGATTTTTTTTGAAAACATACACAAGAAACTACTATCACCTGTGGAAAGAATGCGGGAGAACTGAGGATCTGGGGTAGAAGAGAAAGGATCTGCTGATAAACATTTTTGTGATATTTAAATGTGCATTATACAATGTATTATTGAAAATTGATCAGTTTTAAAAGGTGATGAATTGAATAAATCATTTATTGCATCCATGAAACGAACCAACACAAATGTTTTTAATATGATATGTTTTGTGTAAGGAAAGCAAATCAATCACTTGACCAAGTTATGCTTTTTTTCTGTAGCTTGGAAAAGATTTCTCAGTACTTACCATGCGCCAGGCCCGATGCCAGATGCTTGGGGGGCAAAACAAAGGCACTGCCCTCAAGGAGTTCACAGTTCAGGGGGAAGATAGAGGAATACTGATTTTCTTCTGGCTTAGCTCTAACATGTTTAGTAAAGGCAGTTCCTTCCAAAGCTGTGACAGCAACTTACCGGTGCAGCAATTACGGTCTAAAGACCTCACCACATCTTGTGATAATTGTCAACGTCTCTGAGAGAGTTGATGACAGCTCCCCCACCAAGTTTCCAGGGATGACCCAAAGATACCTCTTATAAGAAAAACCACTACCCATCTCGGGACGTGTGCACTGAATATTACAGAATAATTTCCATTCGCAGAAGCACTACACTTTTCCCACGGCCGCTCTTTGTGTGTGCTTTCTTTTCTGTTTACAATGCTCTTCAGCTTTGGGGCCCTTTTCTCAGCTAACTCCTGCTCAACATCAAATACTGGCTCAAGTGCTTCTTCAGAAAAGCTTCTCTAATTATCTGCCACGCAAACTAGGTTGGGCACATTCCCCCATGTTCCCACAGCTCTTCACACCTTGCATTTAGCCATCGACTTGTCAGATCTTAAATTAAAGTACAAATTTACTTAAAATTCCACTGTTAGTGCCTGGGATAGTTGGATGATTTCAGCTTTCATGGCTTCACTGTCCTTCCCCTGGTACTCCCAGTTCCCAATACCAAACTGAACATTGTGATTGGTTTCCTGTGGGCCTGCCCCCACTGCACCATTTCCCCAAGTCCGGGACGCTCTACTCACTTATCCAGTGACATCCCGGGGAAGGCAAACTTGCCCAGACAGATGCGATAGATAGCGCTCAGCGGAATCCGCTGCAGCTCCACACAGCTGAGCATGATGAAGTCATATTTGCAGATCAAGAGATTCTGGTCTGTGAGCAGCAAAATTCTCTCCTTCTCATTGTTCCAGTGATCTATCCTGCAGGGATCATCACAAAGAGGGAAAGCTGATGCCAGGCCTTTTCAAAGTAAAGATAACGTCATTTCAAAGTAAAGATAATGTCACAGGCTGGGCGCAGTGGCTCACACCTGTAATCCTAGCACTCTGGAGGTTGATGCAGATTGATCACCTGATCTCAGGAGACCAACCTGAGGCAGAGTGAGACCCCTTCTCTACTTAAAATAGAAACCAAATCAAAGCAAAATAAAACAAAACTACCCAGATATGGTACAGGGCGCCTGTAGTCCCAGCTACTCAAGAGGCTGAGGCAAGAGGATCACTTGAGCCCAAGAATTGGAGGTTGCTGTGAGCTATGATGTCACTGCACTCTATCCAGGGAGACAGGGTGAGATTCTGTATCATAAAAAAGGAAAAAAATAATTTCTTTTTCTGAATGAAATACCTCCTCTCACAGAAGACAGCGAAATATGATAAACTCAAAAGAAAGAAGTTTGATTAACTCAGAAGAAAGAGATTAGACAAATCCCTAATGCCACCTCCTCCACTTAATCTAGTCCCATGACTACAGGAGGAAGCCAAGTGGAAGATGAGGGGGAAATATTTTATCATCACAGAGCTCAGAGACAACTACCGTGATGGAATCCACTAGGAGACTACCAGGTTTGGACTTTGTGGGAAGTCAACTGGTTCATACTTCTGTGCATCTTCCCAGTTCTCCAGGAAACCTTCACAAAGCACATCTTCCTCCAAGAGAAATATCTCTGTGTTCTAACCTAATCCCTACCACAAAATCTACTCTTGGAATGTAGTGTATGCTAATCTGTAAAGGTCACCCTGCTGACCAGAGATAAAATGGAGACTTGAACACGGGTCCTCCATCTTCTAAGCCTTCATTATTTAGAGCTTCTCCTGCCGTATTTTGTGGTGTAAATATAGTGAAATATATGAAGAAAGATTTTTATGAACCAAACACAGAGTAGACACTAGATAAGTTATTTACTAAATAAATCTTCCTCAGATTTGGGTCTTTCAGGGAATATATGAAAAATTCTGATGGACTGTTAAGAATTTCTCCAATGGAGAGAAAAAGAAGGAATCAAAATGATGCCTTCCATTTAAAAATCATACGAGCCTGGTTTGTAATTCCTCTGACCAACAGCACTTCTGTCTACTACAACCTTAAGGATATAGCACTCCATGACTTGCATTCGAATCATTTCAATATGTGCTCTGTTTTTCCAAAACAACCCGAAAAGATTGTTCTGTGACCAACTGATGTCTGAATTTCAGCACGTAGCATCAATCTAATGTGTAAATGATATGTGCAACCATTCTCCACGAAGAAACTACAATGCAATTCCTCATATGCAAAGTGAATTATATCACTCTCCTGGGGTTCACTTTGTTAAATAGCATCCCCTTGATTGTATGATCAAAGCCAAAAACCCCTAACATGGACTACAGGTCTGTATAATCCGGGCCCTGCCCAGGGTCATCTCACAGTAGACTGAGAGCACTCATTTTTCAAGTCCTGGTTCAAGTGTCTCATTCAAAGAGGATTTCCTAAACTGCTATATAAACTTGGCATCATCACACTCCCTCAAGGCATCCTTAGCCTTTCTCCCTTGTGGCATTTATCACAATTTATAAGGAGGAATAAAACATACATAGCATTTGGTTAGTGTGGCCACTGACCAATCAGAATGTACCCTGCAGAGCAGAGGACAGGGAAATGCCAGCTGGGACAGGCTGGTATCAACAGTGTGTGTGTCAGTGAGTGTGTATGGGAGAGAGAGAAAGAGAGATGAGGGCAGAGACTGTCTGCTGGGCTTTATCCAGTCAAATTGCCTGCACAAAATACATACCTGTCAAGTGAATAAATAAATGCTAATTATAATGATTTTGGAGGACTGTGGGTACAGTGAGGGTAGGAGTGGAAACTTACAGCAGTATTACTTACTAACTCCACAATACTGGACTTCTAACCTTTCTCTGGCTCAGCTTCCACCCTCATCTCACACACACTCTCATCTGTGAAACGGAGACAGCACTACCGCTCACCTCGTGCCATTGGGGAAAAGCTTTAAAAAAGTGATTCTCAGTCAGTGCTCTATAAATTAGTTATTGTTATTACTGAATGGCCTCCAAGACTAAGTGACCTCGGGTAACTCATATGCCACTTCTCAGCGTAAAGACAGACACGCAGCGTGAAGTTAGGAGTCCAACGGGTGGAGGAAGAGGAGGAGATGTGCAGGAGAGAAAAGGGGAGACAAGGGGAAAGAAGGGGGAGAAGCAGACAGACGAGGGACAGACGGATGCGAACATCGATTGAGGGCCCAGGACGTGCTGCCCATTCCACGCTCATAAGTTTAGTTCTCCATTTCACCCCCACCCTTTGAAGATGGTTATATCCAAAGACACACAGCTAGAACATGATAGTTAAGTTAGTGGCGCACTCAGAGGAAATAGCATAAAGATCAGGCTATCTGGTTTAAATCTTGATTCTACAGTTTCCATCCACTCAAACATACACTGATGCCTCCTACTCTACTGAGAGAGAAGAGAATTCTTGAGTCTGCTTAACACTCTCTGTCTTAGTCAGAAAGAGACAGGGCCTCTGAAATGTCTTATCAGACATCTACATAAACTTCTCTAAATAGACTGCATCTACTTAGCAGCAAGTTATAAGCTGCTGCCTAATAAACCAGGCTTGTTTTTAGTCTAAAAAAACTGCAGCTTTTGGTTGAATGGTTTTACTGAAAATGTCAGCACTCCATAATGAGATTTATTTTAAAAGGTAAAGGATTTGGGAAAAAAAGGAACATTCTTTTTAGGAACACAGAGTGCTCTGCTGTGACACAGACGCGGCATAATTTACATGTCGGGAATGTCTGAATTCAAGTAAACACACAGGCTTATAAATAGTTTGGGGCCACCATCTCAAGCGCCTGGGTGGCGTATTTATTTATTTAGATTTCACTCGCACCTTTCCCCCCCTAAGAACTCATAAATAAACATTAAATTACACATTCCTAATATTAATATGACTGAAGTTTGGGCAGTAATAAGTGCAACAAATATGGGAGTAGAAATACCAATAATACATTGTGTTTGTATAGCGCATCGCGGCTTTCAAAGCCCTCGAATGTCAATGCTCTCATTTGATCTTCCCAAGAACCCTTTTGACTAAGGGTTTTTAAAGACAAGGAGACACACCCTTTGAAAGATGTGCCCAGTGTTTTACACCCAGCAACAGTAGGGCAGGGAGCTGGACAAGGGATGGAGACACCAAACCCAGACACAGTGTTTGCTCTATCCCTTGTACCAACCATCTTTAAACAGTGGACCCTTCAGAGTGGTGTGTACACGTGATAAAACCCTCCTTTGGAAGGAGCTGGTGTGATAGGACATACCGCTCCTGACGTTGTTCTCTCTGGCAAACGTCTTCTCCCAGAAAACACTCAAAATCATCCCTTCCCTACCATGTCCTCTGTCAGTGTTTCCCACGTTGTGAAAAAACCCTCCTCCATCCACTTATGCAAGAGTCATTCTGCATTCATTGCGTTTCCTTACCTTACACACCAGGTCCTAAACATTTCACTCTTAAAATGTCTCTCCATACCACCCACTTCTCTCCAACTCCACCTCACTGTCCCAATCCTGTTTCCTTCCTCTCTTGTCTGGACTATTGCAATAACCCTCTCACTAGGCTTGGGCTACAAGTCACCCAGACCTGGCTTACCTAAATCTACTCTTCCTCCTTCCAACTTCTTCATCCTACTGCAGTGAAGGGATTCTTTTTCAAAAAGAAAAGAATCTGATCTTCACTGACTCACCCTTGCTTAAAATACTTTAACAGTTCCTCCTGGCTCTTATGAAAAATGCCAAAAAATTCTTTACTGGTCTAAAAGGTTCTGCAGGATCCGGGCTTGTGTACATCTGCAGCCCCATCTCAGGCCCAGCCTGTCCACACCGTTTTCCTTGACCTTCTCTCCGTTTTTGAGTTCACAATGCCCTCCCCAACCTAAGTGAGGGTCTTTGCAGTCCTTCTGCTGCCAATCTTCTTCACGATCTTCCAGCTCACCTAGTGAGCTCCTGGAGACCTGAGCTCCATCACACCTTCCTCCAGGAAGCTTCCTCACACTTCTGTGACTATTCTTCTTTCTAATACACGCGTTTTAGCGCACACATTTCTTGGTTATGTCACTTGTTCCAGATGCTTTTACAGTTATTTCTACGATGACATAACTAATATCTGTCTCCTTTCCCGTACTATAAACACTGAGAAAGTGGAGTCAGTTCTTAGGTGTGTGTCTTTAAGTTTGTAGGTGTCCAAAAGGTATTTCTGAACTGAATTAGTAAAGGACGAACCATCTTTGCTCTGTGTAACCTAGATGTCTTGGCTCCTGCTGCTTGGAAAAATCTGATCCTCATGTTTACATGCTTAAATCCTCCCCCGCAAAATCAGACATTTTCAAAAAAATAATTAGTAACATTTGAAAAATAGTGAGACAGAGCAGAAACAAAAATGTTGCCTACAGTATTCTTCTAATTTTGTAATAATGACAACAAAATAATACACGGATCAAAATGTTAGCACTGATTATTTCTGAGTGGTGGAATTTCAAGTGACTTTTATATCTTTTTATGCTTTTATTTTCCAGAATTTAAAATTTTTATGATGAACATATACTTTTTTGATAAAAGAGCTTTTTTTATTGTTTTTAAAACAATAAAAAATCACCCATCCTTCAAGTTTCCAGCATACATGCCATCTATGGAGCCTTACCCTCACTTCAGACACCCCCAAGAGGATGTCATCTTTCCTTTCTTTAAATATGCACAAACCTTTATCTGTGACTCAGTCATGGTCCTAGCCACAATTTTCTCTGTATTACAATGATTTGTCCTACTCCTGCACACACACACACAAACACACACATACACACCCGTTAGTGCGAGCCCCTCTAGTACAGAGTCAGTGCTTTATTTATATCTGAGTCTCCTTACGGTGCCTA